GGCTGGGAATTGAACTCATGTCATAGCGGCTGGTGATAGCTTGATAATATTGAGACTTAATTCGTGAGCCACAAGAGGGGCCCAGCTGGGCAGGCAATTAAGGAGAAAGTGGAATTGTACAGGTCCACTTCCCTCCCTAGCAAATTTGAAACAAGTATGCCAACTGGCACTGATGGAGTAACCAGACAAGGGGTGAAGAGCTAAGGCAGTGGAAGGAGCGTCTTTTATGGTCAATTCTGGTGTCATTCGAATCTCTGTGTGAGTTGCTCCGTATGCCTTGGGCTCTCTGCTGCCAACTTTAGATGTCAGGAAAGAGTGGCAGTCTTTTCTAAAGATGAAGGCCTGCCAGGGTGAATCACCTCTGCTCTTCTCTACACCGAAGGGTCCTTTGAAATCTTGTCCCCCACTGAAACTTACTGCTCAGCTGCACTAGCTATAAAAAGAGTCTAAAAGGCCCTTTTGGAGCAGCCCAGCACTGAAGGTTCCAGGAGGACGATTCCGTGCCGCCAGCAGGTTATCTGAGCTCTGAGATTCCTTCTGGTGTCGTCTGTGCCGTCTCAGCAGGTGAGTGGATCTGCTCCCCTGCTTCCTCGGGCTGCTCTTAGTCACTGTCTGGGGACAGTCCTATTGTGCTAATGGCAAGTGTGACTGCCTTGGCAGGAGGTCAAGTCAGTTTTTGTAGTTTCCTGCTCTTGTCCATAGCTGTCTCTGGCAGTATCTTGATTTCAAGTTCATTTATATGCATATCCTTGTGGCTTTGAAACTTTCCAACTGATGCTGAACTAGGTTTCAGAAAGGTCCAGAAATATTTAGAGTAAGGTTTAGTGACTATCTAATGTCATCATAGAATATACTGTCAAGGAGCATCAGTCTTCACTGGTACACATGCCTTAACCCTAACCAGGCACATTTCTGGAGGCTTGTCATCTTTCCAAGACCTTTGCCACAGTTGCACTGGAGACAAAATACAGGCCATCAGATTCCAGTGTCCCTGTTTTGTGCACCTCTGGACTCTGTGACCCTTTAATTCTGCCCCTCCATTCCTTCCAGAATAGCCTGTCATGAAACTTAAGAGTCTTGGGGTAGTCACATTTTCATTGGTGCGTGATTAACCCTAACTGTAAGGAACATCTGAGTGAAAAGTCAGGATTAAAAATATCTCAATAAAACACAAATATCCAGTGTGACTCATCAAAATGTGTATGTGGTATTTACCACACCTACTCGATTATGGAGTCTTGCTTATGATAGAGTCCTCGGAATTCAGATCCTTGGGAATAGTTTCGGAGAAATTGTGACCTTTGTACTCACTTCCATCCTGCACTTAATTACACTTCCATGCCAGTCAAAAGTACTGTGCTTGGACCAGCCTTGTAGTTATCATGTAATGATCTGTTAGAAATCTTAGATGCCACCCTAGACCTGTAAATCAGAATCTACATTTTTACAAAGTCCCTAGCAATGGGAACATGCCAGCCTGTTTTGAAGACAGATGGCTTTCACCTTCTTACATGAAACCACTTTGACAAAGGTAGCCAACCACAAATTTCTTGCCCTAAATATCACATCTTTTCAGTCTCATTTTCCTGTCTTCTCTTATGTCAATTTTTAATGTCAAATATCCTTAAAACTTTAGTAAAGTAGTAATGTGTGCATATAATAAATTTAAATGGTGCAAAATAAAAAAAGTTTCCCTAGTCCACCTTCTCCTTCCTAATTCTCAGGATAAACATAAGTATTTGTTTGGTTTTATATTTGTTGTCATTTTGTTTCTTTCAGAAGTTCTCTTGTAATATTAGAGCAAATGCAATTTTTTAACGCACCTGGTGTCATACTGGACAGACTGTTTTGTGAGTTATTTCATTTAATCTCTAAATTAGGTTAAGATCTGTTCACAAGATTGTAGTCTCCTGAGAGTTTTTTGTCCCCTACTTCCCTGGTGTTTCTCCTTTCCTTTCTTTTCTTACGCTCTAGCCTCTTTCTCAGTCTCTCCTCTACCTTTCTTGTACTTCTGCTATCTCCCTCTGAATCCTGTCCCTGTCTTTCTTCATTTCTTTGCTCTCATCCACACAGGTTTTCAGCCATGACCTCACAGGCAGTGCCTCCCATCTCCTGACTTTGGGGGTGTCCTATTCTCAGCGTTTCAAGCCCATTTCCCCCATTTATCAGACATCTCATGGACACGGACACCCCTCCCCCTTCAGTACATCTGTGTTCTTTGTCAGAATCTGCTCCTTCCAGTCTCCTGCTCCCTTCCCACACCAATGAGGGGGCACCGCCCCTCTGGCTGCACTCTAGTGTGAACGTGGAAACCGGGGCTGGATCTGAGCAGCGCCCTTTTAGCCTGCGACACTTGTAAAAGAACAGCCTGATTGTCAGCACTGCTGTGGAAGTCTGTGTTAGTGTCTGGTTACAAAAGTATCATCCAAGTGATCCAGCATGTTCCTAAAATTTGAAAATGTCTTACCAAAATATAAATATGAAAATTCTCATTGTGGAGCTCTCAGGCCCGCAATCCAGTTTGCAAAATACCAGTTTAAGCTGATGGTTCCCAAGGTCGAGT